AATGCCGGTAAAAGCTCATTGCTTTAGCAAAATTATTTATTTTTGATTTTATAAAAAAAAACTATAAAATCGGATCTGGTTTACGCTTAATGGCGTGAAACAATAACAGACAAACCTTCCTTTTATGGGGTCTGCCATGGATTATCTAAATTGATTTAAAACTTCTGTACACACCCTTACAAGAACCTATCGTCTCAGACTAGCAGCGGACGGATTTCCGAAGTTTCTCATTGAAATTACGGTGAGATTTTAACGTTCAGTCCTCACTGAGACTTTAAACTGAGATTTGCGACAAAGGAGGGGTGTTAAAGAACTCCAATTTGGGCGCACTTAACGTTTGTTTAGAGATAAATTCCGTTGGAATTGTCTGAACAATTAGCGAACTTATAGACAAATGGGTTACAATACCTTACAAAGTTGCTTGGATACGTAGTGACGATCAGGTTTTTGTTTTGTTCAGAAGTGTTAAGTTTGTAGTTATATCATTTAATTTATCAAATTCATCCTTAGATGGCGTTATTGTTATGTTTAATATTTTTCTATGCAAGTTCTGAATCACGGTATTTAGTTTGTTTTTCGAATACACTTAAGTTCAATATTATTTTGAAATAGACAACCTTTGCCACAGATTTCGGTGTTTTATTTATTTAAATAGCTCACAGACTTTTTGAGATTTGAACAAGAAGCAAGTACAGAACATATCAATATCATATCAATATCATCTACAGTCATCACAAAATAATAGGCCACGGTTCCCAACTTAGGGGTTTTGCCCCCAGATTTAGGGGCTAGAAGTGTTAAAACGGACTTTTTTAGGGGCTGGAATTTTTTGGGGGTTCTTTTAGGGGCTTTTATCAAAACTTACAATTAAATCGAAAAACAAAGCGTGTGTTTTCTTTCAGTTTTGTGCGAAGAATGGAACGCACCACAATATGACACGACTGAACTGACTGTATGGCGGGTTGTTTCCTAAGGCTGTATGGACTAAAGTTTAAAAACAGCTAAATAAGATTTAACAGCCTGTCAGCTCATTTTCGTTTGACTTTCGGAAACTGTATTTATTCAATAAAATAATTTACCTACTGTAACTAAATATGTAACGTTTTAATTTATGAGCAACGAAAGAATTTGGGTAGTAAGTAGGTACTTAAAAATTCTATATTTAGGGGATTTTAGGGGAATTTCAAAAATACTTAGGGGAAAATTTTGGTAAGGGTTGGTAACACTGTAATAGGCCCATTTTGACATTTGTAACTGGTGATGTAACCATACGACTCGGTACACGATAATCGATACCAACTTGTATGAGCTGTATACTTCCAACTCAAAATATAGGTGTAAATAAATTTACTACCTATTGAATGTATAAAATGGTGACATGTACCTACTTTCTTTAACCTATGTTATTACTACTACATTACAATGACTACAATTTTTATAATATCTACCTACCTTACATGTACAAAACTTAAATTTGTAAACTTATACCTACATATTTACATATAATTATCACAATTAGGTACTACTACACCAGTTATTCTTACTATTTATTTTATTATTATGTGTACATACCTACCTACATTTAATATGACGACGACGAACCTCACCTAACTAACGTAAAACCTAACTTTAAGTGGAATTGTGTTATCACATAAGTGGCAATGTTTGTCTTTGTTAATAATAAAGATCTTTAAACCTTATGAGTAATTTTGACTGATTTAATTATGTATTGTAAAGAGCATTGGATTTAAGTTCTGATTAGAAAATTTAATACCAGCACAATAGGGTATTTGACAAGTTTTAGAAAACGATCTCACGTTATATACTAATGTTTATAGAGTCCATAAAAAGTGGAGATTCATCATTATGTTGTGTATTTCGGTAAAAAAACTAAATCAAAAACTCTATTTTCAAGTTGCCGCGAAAAACGTATCTCTGGACAATATGGCGTCTCACTGGTGTTTGACGTCACACGACTGTCATTAAAACGTTAAACCATACAATCTAATGTCACTTTAACCGGAAGTTTACTTGCGTGTAACGTCATTTTAGGCTCTACCAATCCCAAGCGTTTTGGGTCACGTGACAAAAGACAAGAAAACTATTTTCTTTATCGTGGGTTTTTAGTAAAATTATGAATATTTTTTCCGTAAAAATAGTAAAAACTCCTTCCAATATTCATTCTAAATACAGATGCTAACAATTGGCACTTTATTTTTAATACTGTCAAATACCCTATTAAAGCGTTACACTTTTGAGTTGTATGTGCCGTATTTTTCCATTTTGTTTTTATCTAACTTTCGTGATGACTTCGGCTATTATATTTTAGGAATTTTAACTAATATTGCTTGTATTAGCGGATTAAAGAGATTGATTAAAATGAACATGTTATATTAACTTACGCTCAACGATCCTATATGCAGTGATGGTATTGAATCTTTTTTTACACGCTTATTTCGAAAAAAAAAACAAATGCCGGGGCGAGTTATGTAGTGAATAATAACAATACAACTTTCAAAGAAAAAGGACAAATAGTTCTTTAATGATAATTATAAAGTCAAATAATCTCTTATCTATTAGACAAGTCCGTCCGTCCGTCCGTCTGTCTGTGTTGCTGTTTCAGCGGCCAAACCGTAAGAGATAGATAAAGAGAATATTTAAGTTATAAGTTAAGAATAGTCTGATAAGACTACAAACCGGATTTGAGTAACGTAGCACTTCCGGTTTTCGAGAAATCACGAATTTCAAACGAAACCACACAAAATCTCCGAAGTTCTCAATTAATTAAATACATTTTATTTTTTTTAATCAGGTTTTGGTGAACATTTGGTTCACTGGTTTGCTAGTCTTATTAAATCTTTTAAAGATTCTGTCAAATAGTTTCTGGCAATGAGTTCCATAGACGTACAGAATGCACAGAGAAGGAATAAGAAAAGAAATCAGTAGAATGACTTGGAATTTCAAGAGATAGGTTAGAAGAAGATCGCAGAGTGCGCTGTGATGTAGAAGACAGAAACGAGAAGCGTTCTTTTAAGTAATGAGGAGAAGTCGGTAAGAAAAGTACGGAGTAAAGAAGCGTATTTAGGACAATGTATTTAGTTTTATCTTTTAGGGAGATAGGTGTTAGTTAACTTATTAACTTATCTCTCGAATTTGAGCGTCAGTGGGAGTAATCTCCACCTTACAGGAGACCACAGTAAAATAATACTAGCTCTTGGTGGTGTTGCGTTTCTGTCAATGAGTAAGGTTTCAGATCTCCAGGTAGGGGATTGGGTCAGGGTTTTTTTTTTTTTTTTTTTTTATTTGCTTTTCTGCAGACTCGAGGTCCGCACCTTTGTTAGTGTGGGTTTATATTTATTTGTTTAATTATTCGCTCCATATTTAACAGAAAAAATCTTAAAAACTAAAAGAGGTTCCTTAATACTATAAGATCATGCATGTATAATTTTAATATTAATAAATTCTTAAAAGCTAAAACAGGCTTAAACAGGTTTCTTAAAAGCTAAAACAGGGTTAAACAGGTTCCTTAATACTATAATATTATGCTTGCTTCATTTGTTTCCAGCATCCCTTGGTCGACGGCTACAATACTTGCCACCGTCGCCCAAGGCGCCGGAACTTGGTGGTTTCTTACATGCGCATATCAATAATTATTTTAATTTTATCCAATTTATTTATTTATTGTGCTTTGCAGTGCTAACAGGAGTTGCTAGCACTGCAAGCGATTTCTGTAGGGCAGTGTGTCGTGCTTGACAGGGCTAGCCATACTGCCAGCACTGCAAGCCGACACACCTCCCACAATTTTTTTTTATGCAGTTTTATAATTTTAATATTAATAAAATTCTTAAAAGCTAAAACAGGTTCCTTAATACTATAATATTATGCTTGCTTCATTTGTTTCCAGCATCCCTTGGTCAATAAAATTCAAGGTCAAATAATTGCCACCGTCGCCCAAGGCGCCGGAACTTGGTAGTTTCTTATATGCTCATATCAATATTGATTTAATTTTATCCAATTTATTTATTAACTTAACTTAATTAAATTCCCTATGTATGGTCTTTATGTTTTTTGACCTTTGTAGATTTCTTGTATTATGGGAATACTAATAATATGTTGGAAATATTTATTTATTTATTTATTTATTATTACATTTGTGTCAATTATTTCCAGCATAATTTAACAAATTTAACAGAAACAGAAGAGGCAGCAGGGCCAAAGGACCGAAGGACCACGGACCGCGGACCGAGGACCGAGGACCGAAGCCTCGGACCACGGACCGCGGACCGAGGACCGAGGACCGAAGCCTCGGACCACGGACCGCGGACCGAGGGCCGCGCTTACAGTGTGTGATGCATTTACAAATCAATCACTCAATTACAATAACTGAGTACATAGTTCATTAAAGCAGGTGGAACTTTTCCTGCATTTAAATCAATTATTTAATAACCTAATTTAACCTGACCGGACCGGACCAAAGGACCAAAGGACCGCAGACCACGGGGCCGCGAGCCCAAGGGCCGCGGACCATGGGACCGCGCACCCAAGGACCGCGGACCAAAGGAGGGTCGCAGACCAAGAGACCGCGGGCCAACGGACCGCGGACCGAGGGCCGCGCTTACAGTGTGTGATGCATTTACAAATCAATCACTCAATTACAATAACTGACCGAGGTGAACGGAACTATGGTAGAGGATAATATTCAAAACCGTGAAGAATAATAATGTATGTCACGCGAATAGGTAAATAGATGAATTATTAACTTGCGCTAATTAATCAATGAGGTGAATGGAATTTTGGTAGAGGATGATATTATGGGATAATGGTAATTAATAAGGTATGTCATGTATTTCGGTAAATAAATAATATAATAAATTAAATAATTGAATGGGCATTGACAAAGTTTTGATATTGCATTTATAGTGTAATTGTATTGGATCAAGTTAGACTTTATTAAGATGAAATAACTATGGTTGATAGCATGGAATAGATTAGTTTGCAGACTATTGATAAGCCACCGTAAGCCTGGCCTGGCGGTCCGCCTTTCTCCAAGCGGAGCACTCGGTGGAGTACGCTGGGTGAGAGGGCTCTCCGTCCTCCGGTGCGGCGCAGTTGGCGCACTTTGGAGGCAGACCCCTATTAGGGCATTCCCGGGTGTCGTGGAGGTCCCCGCAGTATCCGCACGAGGGCGTTTCGGCGCGACAGGAAGATGCCAGGTGACCAAATCCCTGGCAGCGGTAACATTGTGTTACCGGAGACTGGTCCACCGCGGGTACCATTTGGTACGCCACCCTGACTCTTCTGTTTTTGAGCGCCGCCCAAATGCTCGGGTCGACCTCCAGGACGACCGAGGAGTGCGGCCCCATTCTGCTTTTTATTCTGCGAACCACTCTGACGGCTTTTTCATCTAGTGGCACAGGCCCCAGCAGACCAGCGTTCTGCTCCCTTACCGCCTCCAAGACCTGGGCATCACTAGTATCGCGGGCGACTCCTAGCAGCCGGAGCAGCGGCCTCCTCCGGGGCACCACGGCAGCCGAGAGGCCCAGCCCGGCACCCGCTTTGGCCTCCCCTAGCCGGTCTCTCTCCTCCGACGTGGAGCATCCGACCAGCACCCGGTTGCCCCTAAGGTTCCTGAGCCTGTTGACCCCGACACCCAGTTTAACGACGTTTATGCCCGTTTTCAACGTCTCTGTAATGTCGCCACTGGTGTGCCGGGGGTCCACAGACTCGACAAACAGGGCGAAGGAGGGCTCAGCTGGTAAGGCCCTCACCTCGACCTGCAGTCCCGCCTCACCGGGGTCGGTCCGAGGACCGGGCCGGGGACCGACCGAGGACCGGGCCCCAGGTCATTGGGTCAGGGTTAGGTTAGGTTAGGTTGCCGGCGGCGGATTCCCAGTAAGGATTCCAAGCCGCCCTACCGCTGGCAAAAAAGGCACATCCCGGAGTTTTAGTGGGTAGCCCCCCCCCATTCCGAACAGCCACTGAGCCAGCTCTAGGGTTGGCTGAGTGGGTGGGCGCGGTGAGGGGAGGAGTCCCACATAAACCCGTCGCCTACCCAGCGGCGGGGTACGCGTAACGCATTTCTACGGGTCAAAAAAAAAGGTTAGGTTATTACTATTTAAAAATTTGAAAAGTCCTGACAAAACGCCGGACATTTCGATCAAAGTCCGGACATTTTAGTCACAAAATGCAAACATCACCCACTTAGTAACAGTGATATTAGAGGGGGTCTCGTTGTTGATTTTTAAAGATTTTTTTAATAACTAAATAATATTAACGAGAACTTAATAAAGATTATTTGACTTATTTGATATAACTTAATAAGCAGTTTTACTCATATTCCATGGAATTTAAAAAAAAACCCAATAATTTAAGAAACCGGACAAAGTCCGGACCAAAGGCAAAATCCGGACATGTCCGGACAAATTCGGAGGGATGGTAACCCTAGTCAGGGTAGACAACGGCGTGAGTAATAGCTTTGGCATCGCAATCATCTTTAGGATATGGTGGCCCCTTATCACCCGGGGGCCAATCGCCTAACGGAAATGCTTTGGAAAATTCTAACGCCTACGATTTCATTTTGTTATTTCTAACCGCCTGAGGGTTTCAAATGCCACGCGCTCTTTTTTTTTCTTTTCATTGGTAATAATAATATTTAAAAAAATAGCGTGAGGTATTTGATAACTTTCGGCGGTCAGAAATAACAAAATCGAAAGCGTTAGCGTTTTCCAAAGCATTTCCGTTAGGCGAATGGCCCCCAGGCAGGTCATATGCCTGATTGACATTCTTCTTCGTACAAAACCTAAAGCAAATCAAATTAAAACAACTTCTTCACAAGAAACAGCGATACGTTTTCGCTTAATAAACGCAGAAATTATAATAAAACACGCACGAAAAAAAGTTTTCAAACAAAGATAATTTATTTAGCATACATTCCGCGTTTTAATGATAAAAAAAAAAGAATTGAGTTTTTAATCGAGAATTTTTCACACGTTCACAAAACATGCGCGATTGTCATTTTGTGCTACGATAGCTGTGTAGTTGAATGGTGGTATGCTGTGTCACGGATACAAATGGTAGCGGCTTCGAATCCCTTACGGGGCCATAGTTCGTTGAAATGTAGGTAAGAACAAACATACATACATACAATAACGTCGTATAGTTTGCAAAAGGTTGGGATAGAATTTATGGATAAACATAATTCAGTCGTATAATTCAATGCACATAATTAATTATGATAGTTTGTTAACTATGTTCTATAAAAATAATAACTTTTAGATTTTGATGAGCAATAAAATGTTCTTTAATCTTACCTACAGTTTAAGTAGTATATATTCTTTATAGTAATATGTATAAATAACATTTATTTATTTATTGACGTTTCGTATCCTTCTCAGGATAATAATTCACACGAAGCATCCTGAGAAGGATGCGAACCGTCAATAAATAAATAAATCAGTGCATCCATATCGTTGAAACTTGTATTATATACTTATTTGATTTACCGCAATTTTGCGGCGCCGCTCAAATTCGAATTGAACAGGTGATAGTTCACTTTTAATTTAGTAGTATTTATAGTAGTCTAGTTAATGTTATTTTGCTGTGGTCTCCTGTAAGGTGGAGATTACTCCCACTGACGCTCAAATTCGAGAGATAAGTTAACTATCACCTACCTCCCTAAAAGATAAAACTAAATACATTGTCCTAAATACGCTTCTTTACTCCGTACTTTTCTTACCCACTTCTCCTCTTTACTTAAAAGAACGCTTCTCGTTTCACTCTTCTACTTCACAGCGCACTCTGCGATCTTCCTCCAACCTATCTCTTGAAATTCCAAGTCATTCTACAACATCTTGCGCATAACAACCGCAAAAAGAACTTATTTCCCTCTAGCTATAGCAATACAGTTATTGTATTCCAAAAAAAATTGTTTATAATAATTACTATTAACCTTGAAGTCTTTTAATATATTGAAGAAAAAAAATATTAAAATACCAAAACAATCTGAGATGAAAGAATGTAATGTTTAAAAATGTATTATAAAAATATATCACGCACAGGCTTTTGTTTTATGTAGGCGCTTGAGTATATCGAATTCATTATAGTTTATCGAGTGTTGCGTGCAGCTCAGTCGCATAGTCTATATAAGGGGGTTAAAACGTTGCGCTTAAAATACGTGGAGATATTGTTTTTATATAATGGTGAGTCCATGTTTTTTTTTTTTTTATATTTACCTGATTTCTTTTTTTGGTTCGCAATGGATGCTTTAATTAAAAATCTTTCTATTTAAGAGAGGTAAGGCGGAATAGCGGAATTTACGTTAGAATTGGTGCGCCCGTCTGGGAATGTACATAACCTTCATCTTACAGAAGATCACAGTGAAATAACACTGCCTTTTGGTGGTGTCGTGTTGTGCTCCACGGGGTATGGGATTAGGTCAGGGTAGGTAACGATGCGACTGATATTTTTGGTATCGCAGGCGTCTATATGCTATAGACGCGGAATAATCCCAAAACGAGGATCCCGCGGCTTCGCGCTAAGCAGCTTAGAGGGTACTCGCGGGGTTTTTTTAGCGTATATTATGCCGTAAAGCGCCCGTAAGAGTTACGGGGTTCTCAGTGGGTAGCCACTGCTGGGGCTTGTTAGGCTTGCGGGAGCCAGGTGTGAGGTCCGTTCGGCGGTGTAAATAGTATTTTTTGCCTGCGTATAAAAAAAAGGCGTCTTTATGCTATGGTGGCCGGTTACCATCAGGCGCCATAAGCTTGTTTGCCATCCTTTTAACATAAAAATAAATAAATAAACTAGTTTCAACGGTATAATATACAGACGAAACGTCAATAAATAAATAAATCAGTGCATCTATACAGTGCCCTTACGAGTTCGAGCTCATGAAAACTATCATAGTTTTCGTAATTGTAAATTATGTTTCTATGTCCATTTTGGTTAAAAGTAACCAAATATACCTCCTTAAAATTTATGAACACGCAAATGATTTAATGATAGAATTTAAACACTGTTTATTTGTTTAAATCTAAAGAAAAGTTTACTAGAAAAAAATCCACGCGGACCAGGCAGCGGACGGGACTCGAACCCGCACCCTTCGCAATCCGGGCGAATGCACTGGGCATTCGCCCGGATTGCGAAGGGTGCGGGTAGATTTTTTCCTAGTAAACTTTTCTTTAGATTAAAACATCTAGCAGTTAAATGCTTGAAAATAAATAAAAAACATAACTGTTTATTTGTATTGTAACGAAAACAATGAAATCAGTACCCTTAGTACGAGTTCGAGCTCACGAAAACTATCTATATATACATTTGTTTTTGTTTTTATGCCTAAACAGTGGGACACGGCATTCCTAAACTTTTTTCATTTTTAAAGCTGTTTTTTATATTTTTTATTTTATAGTCATAATTGTTTTATCATTTACATGTGTAATGGAGAGTAACTTCATGGGTTATCTCATATTGAACTCATTTTTCAAATTGACGACTCTGTATATAATACAGGGAGAAAAAAACAGCCCTTGCTGAGTTTCTTGCCGGTTCTTCTCAGTACAAGATCTCCCGCCGTAGATTTGCGAACCGATGACCTAGCTTTTCGACATTCACAAGTGCTTGTAACAGCCTAGACTGAATAAACGATATTGAATTTTGAATTTTGAATCAGTTTTCGTAATTGTAAAACTCGTACTAAGGGTACAGGAAGGATCCTGTGCAGGATGCGAAACGTCACTAAATAAATAAATCAGTGCATCTATACCGTTGAAACTTTTTTTATTTAATGAGTGATGTGCGTGAAAACCTAAGAAACAAAAATAAAACAATTAAATTTTCTTTAGATTAAAGATTTCTTTTCATTTAGCACCTGGGTTCCGAACCTGGGGGTAAATCAGTTATACTTCGGGGGTAACAAAGAACCTGATTATTTGGTCAAATCTAAATAATAAGAAAATACTATATAATAATACTACTAAATAGAGCATGCGCTCCTTCTTGCTAGCGAGCCCGCGGGGTGCTGAGTGTGGGAAGCGGGGCGAGATTTTCTCCTGATGATGACATGAAATTGGAATTTTTTGGACTGATGATAACATTTTAAAATCGGGGTAAAATCTGTTTTCCTAATAGGTTACAGGGGTAGCAGTATTGGAAAGGTTAGGAAACACAGATCTAGCAGTTTAATACTATTGTTTGGCATTTCTGTGCGAGACGGAACGCACCAAGTTCATGTTCGGCTCGGTCACCAATCCGTATGGTGCTGCATGACGCGATATAAAAATCGACGCTGCCATTGGTCGTAAAATATTGTTCCCAACCCCTCTTCCTCGAATTATGTAACAGCAATTTTTCGAATTTAAATATATACGCTATTAGACTTTCAAGGATATCACACCTTTTATTTAAATTTCAAAAATCTCAGTCTCAAAACTCCGTAGCTAAGCATAGACGATACGAAAACCAAGTACCGGTGGTCGCTATCCGGCACATGTGGCCCTTCGTCGCCAAATAATTAGATCCAGCATCCTGAGGAAGACGCGGTCGAAGCTGCTGCTACGGACATATAAAAATATGACTATAATTGCTATTTATTCTTTCAAATGTTTTAATACTTGTGAAGGTATTCGTTAGACATTGTGGGTTACCTACAATGCGAAGAGATGGCGCTACCTTACAGCTTAAGAAATACTAGATAAAATTTAACACGGTCATTAGGGCCGCGGTAGCATAATGGTCCCTGCATCCGCCCGGATAGCGGAGGGTGAGGTTTCGAGTGCCGTTTGCTGCCTGTTGTGCGTGGATTTTTTTCTAGTATATTTTTCTTTACATTTAAACATCTGGAGCAGTTAAATGCTTAAAAATATAACAGTTACCTATTAACTACAAAATTGTGTAGAATTATTATTTTTTAATTTGAGGAGCTCGATGGCGCGGGTGGTTAGCGAGTTCGGCTGCGATCGTTGAAGTTAAGCAGCTTTCGCAGTGGTCGGTCATTGGATGGGTGACCAAAAATCTTTTATCTCGAGTTCTTCCGTGCTTCAGAAGGCACGTTAAGCTAAGCCGTTGGTCCCGGCTGCATCTGCTGTCGTTAGCACCCGCCAATCCGCACTGGGCCTGCGTGGTGGGCCATGGCCCAATCTCCCTATTCCATCCACACTATTTGTATACCTTAATTAAGGTAGAAATGTAGTGATACCAACAAAAATTTTATATACCATGTATACTAACCTATGTTTCACAAATAAAAATCTGATTCTGATTCTGAAAAAAACAGGGAAGGCCTGTGCCCCAGCAGTGGGGACATTAATAGGCTGATGATGATTATGATGATGTTATTTTTTCATCCAGAATTCATTCTGATGTCTCGACCCACACGTTACCGTTATGCTGACACCGCGGCCGACACACAACCTCCTAATATGTGAGTATGTTATATGTATACTAGCTGACCCAGCGAACTTCGTACTATAGAGTTCTACCCAGAATGGATAGAACCTGGGGACGTGACTCTTCAGTAAAACAACTAGACGATGGTTATTATTTTATATTATCATTCAGGCGATTATAAAGAATTTTTATCTAAATACGAGAGGAAGTTCTTGGTGCCTGAAGATCTAATCTTGAATGGAACCTTCTATCAAAAGACAGACGATTCCTCATTTCAAATCTTAAAATCATGACATTATCTTTTTAATATAACTGCCAACCGTAGGCATTGCAAAAGCAAAGAGTTTACCTAAACAAGGAGGCTGTAACGTTTCGGACGTCACAGTACCGCCATAAAAATAGAGGCAGGTGGTAGAAGAGAAAATTTAGGTTTGTATGTATTTTTGGAGTTTACTCCTTAAGAATCGATTTGCATATAAAAGGGGCCCGGTATGAGAAAAATGTGAGGAGTGAAATCTATCGATGAATGACATTAATGACCTCGTTACGTTTTTGTGCGCAACCTCATCTGCGTACCTTTCACTTTTAGCCATGGCAACGGATAAAAAACATTAAGTTGTCACAATAGTCAATAAAATAAATAAACTAAAAATAGATAAAATCGGAGCGAAATTAATGAAAACAAATAAATAACAGAATATAGAGAAATGCCGGTAAGTGTCCA